CTGGGTTTAACTTCATTTTAGAGGATAGAATAATGACCAAGCGAATATAAAGCTCTTTTCAATGCACAGGCTATGTAATGAATTGTGTAATTTAATCAATAATTAGTTATTTATCGATTCATTTTTTTAAAAAGAAAGAAAAAAAAAGCTTCAATATCCATATTGTTAAATAAAAAAGAAAAATTGCCCAAATGGAGACATCTTGTCTTGATTATGGTACAGGTGAATAGTTCTTAAAATGGTGTTTCTCTTTCAGTCTCAGAAAATCCATTTTGCAAGAGTAAATCATTTTAATCATGTGAGGCTGACAGACTAAACTTTACACCACAACTGGCAGAGGACACTCTTTGGGCCAAGTGGCTCCTGGTGTGCAATAAAAGGGATTTTCAGTGTCTTCTCAATCTCATTTTTTCAAAATATTCATAAAATTGTAAAATTAGCTGTTTCTGTCTCTTTTAAATAGTACTGCAGTGTAAAACAACTGATGCTGAATTATTCAACTTATAACTTTTAGACCAAAAATACTGCAGAGATGTAGGAGCGTTGACTGACTCAATGAAAATCTATGACAAGATAATAAAACTCAAAAAAAAAGAAGTCCCTCTCCAATTCACGTGTCATCATTTGAAGTAATTATTAAGTAAGCTTTTACATTTGAATGCATATATCTAATGGGGAAAATTACACCTTTATCCTGCCTTTCCAGTAAAACTTTATTTCAGACTAAGTGAAACAAACAAACAAATAAACAAAAACAAAAAGATTCTCGCATTTGATGAAAGTTTTATTTTACAGAAGAATGCCACCTTTTAAGAGTAAAAAAAAAATTGAATTAGATTTTAAGCATTGTCAACCCCTAATAAAAATTATTGACCCAGGCAAGGATTGCCAACTAGTATTAAAAGCAGCAAGTGCGTGATTTATGGGAACTCTGACACCCACAGAGTGCCCAAGTAACACCACAAAGATTTCTTTCTAGTCACAGGAGAAAAACGTAAGTGTATGTTCACGGAGGGATCAGATTTTCATCACCCTAATTCAGTGGTCAAATTTAGCCCTATAAATGCTGAAACCATCAAATATTATGACTCCTGATGTGATACACAATAAAGTACAAACTGTAACCTGTGGCATATTTTAAACAAAATGTTTAACATGAATCTAGAAAACATTTAGACCTTACTTTCAGCATAAGAAAAGAGAGAGGATGCAGAGAGTTCAACAATAGCACCAGAAGGCACCCAGACAAATTGAGAAGGCAAATCATTCTTGTTGGGACAAACTAGCTCTAAAGAGTATTTTGGAGATAAATGAGGATATTTGAATATGGATAGATTAGATTAGATTAAAAATTTGACTTATAAAGGTAAAGATCATTAACTTAGAAAATTAGAATACAAAATAACTTGCAAAGTATTATCTCATTTTAACAAAAATATATACATACATATATATGTTATCTGACAACATAAAAAGATATTAAAGATGATTTCCAGTGGGAGGTATGCTGTGCTTTTTCTTATTTTTATTTATCTTATTTTCTAGCTTTCTCAAAGCACACATATGCTTTTGTAACAAAATATATTTCTTTATTAAAAACTGAAAGAATTGTGTCCTGAGGTGGAGGTGCCACGATTCAATGACATTAGAGTTTTGGACCTTCCTAGTTGCTGCAATAATTTTAGATGACTTTAAATAGAGAACTTTTAATCCTAGGTAAGGACTATTAGTGAAGATTTGCTCACCCCCCTCTTGTTTACTGCTCATAATACATCTTCTGAAGATAAACAAGCAATTCTGTTTTTAAAAGAAAAGAAGAATAAACAGGAGGGTGGGTGGAAGGAAATTTGTGAAGAGAGAAATGGGGAAGGACACGGAGATGGGGGATAAGGGGGAACACATGATATGTTTTCAAATTCTTCGATAAACAAATGAATTAAGCCTCCTCTCCAGCCTCCACCACTCTACCTAGCCAACTCCATCATTCCTTTAGGAAGTCTTCTCTGTCTTCCCAATCTATGCATAGCTGTTTTGTTCCTATAAACAGTCTCAACACACTACATCGACTACCTACCCACTGACCTGTTTCTCTCTAGACTGTAATTTCTCTGAGAGTAAGGGACAGGTATTTGAAACCACTCTATCTCAAGAATCTAGCTCAATGCCTGGAACAGAACAGATGCTTATGTATTGACTCATTCAGAGGAAGCCCTTCAAGAAAACACAAACTAATATTTATAAGGGTCCAAAAACATACACTAGCCACTAATATTACATCTCTATATGTCCAAGAAATTAAAGGAACATTCTGAAATAAACGATATCCAAAACAACCAAACAGAGAATTCCTGCCAAGAAGTCTGTAGACTTTGGGAAATTAATGCTTTGCAAGATCAGCTCATGATTTCACACAGTCCACCCTCTGTTATGTGTGCAGATTTAAGGTTGGAGAGGGCAGCAGGACAGGGGTCCGCCTCCTGAGCATGTGGTATTCGGCCCCCAAGGCACTCTCAAGTACCTCCTCTGTCTTACTTGGAAGCCAGAGTTGAGTTTTAATCAGTAGATCTGGGACCAGACCAGCACTTCAATGGCCCCTGTCCAAAAGTGCAGTCACCGTCATCTCTCAAACTTGCTGGACTCTTGGCTTCATTACTTAATAGCTTTGACCTCGAGCTCAGATTCCTCATCTGTAAAAGGCTGATTCTTGAACTGTCCTGAGAGTGTGAAATGGAGTGATTCACATAAAAGCCTTAGAACAGTGGCACCTACGAACTCCATAATTATCAGCCCTCGTTACTGTTATTTTTCTCTCTTATAGTGAAGAGTTCCACTATCTACCCAGTCACTTAAGGCTGAGAATCATCTCAGAGGCTGCCACTCTCCTGCAGTGAATCAGTGACGGCTGTGGTGGGCATTTATGATTGCTCTCACTTATAGAACAAAAATAAAGCAGTGGTCATAAAATACAGGCCTGTCGTTATCTAGTCTTTGCTGATTTCTTGGCAGTCTTAAGATTTTCATCATTTCCTTTATTTCTCCTAATCTTCAGCCTTAAAGGCACAGTAATTTATTCGTCTTCTAAGGGATGTGACTTTCAATGGAAATCTACCTTAGTTATTTAAAAATTAAAAAAGAAAAACATATAAAACACTCTGCATCTGCCCTCTTCAGGTAAAGATAACATTTAAATAACCGGGAAAGTAACCGCTTTCCATAAGACACTCATGATTTAGAAATGTACTTGTTATTGTCTGATTTTGCTCCTGAAAATGACTCGAATTGCCTGTTGAAACTCTCATCACACTTCAAAAACTTGGAAACAGAATTTTTAAATCTACTTTAAAAACTTTTAAAGAATTTCAGTGAATTATTAAACATGTTTTTTGAAAATAAAATTGTAACACTTTGTGACCAATTTGCAAGAACTAATTGATATCAAGGAAAATTTATAAGCATAATTTCAATCATATCTTTAATATAATTTGTGGATGTGGCTGAAAACAAATAGTAAATAGTCAGAAATCCATCTCTTCTGTATAAACCTGTCTTGTCCTGTATTACCTTTTTTAGAGACGACGACATTAAAAACAAGTCTCTAATTAATCTGAACTTGGGTCCTAACCTTTAAATCATTATTGAACCAAGATTTTTTTAAAGTTTGAAGCAATTCAAATTACATCATTTTCACTGAAAATAGCCTTACCGATACTATTAATTACTTGTTCATTAACAATGGTATTTTTGGGGAGAGCAAAAAATATTTTGTATCATTCATAGATAAAACAAAATTACATTAAAATATTATTTATTTCATCTTTGCCTTTTGAAAAACTTTCTGTTTTTGTGTTTTACAATTTACATGCTATATTAGCACAATAGTAAACATATACCATTTAAAACTAAATAACTGTATATTAGAGCCACCTGCCAATAATATGTTTTACTGATAAGGATGCACAATCGAAAAAGCTTAAGAACTGTTACTCTAAATTAATTTTTGTCAAAGTATGATTTGAGAAGCATCTGTGTCAGCATCACCATAAGACCTAAGCCCAGAAAATCTGACTTTGGACATGTAATTGGAATCCAGAACTTGCGTTTTTAACGAGTACCTCTCTTAAGATGATTCATAGGCACCATGTTAAAAACGTGTCATTGAAGGAAATAAAAAGCATTCTGGAGAGAATCCGGGTGCCTATGAACAAGGCATGTGAGTGGTAGCCATATGCCATGT